ACTAGATCTGTAGTTGTCCAAGGGATGAACTACAAAATGAAATTGTCTTGTCGAAGGTGGTTTGAGAAGAACTAAAAAGGCAAAAGCAAATTTAGTTTACATAAAGCCAATACTAGTGGGAACCCACAACAACAAGTTGGTGCTATTGAAACCCCCATTACACTATCAAGTATATTGTAACACTAGGTGTTTTAGTCTTATTAATTAATTGTATGCTATACGTGATTAATTCTTGAATTATTGTATTTGTTATTGCTTTAGAACTCTAAAGGTCAAACGATCCTTGAAAATTAAGTTGGTTCTGTTGTGATTTTAGTTAGGATTAAGTTAACCAAGTATAAGGGTATGGTTTGTAAGAATTTTTTAAGACATGAACTTTTATAAGTTCATATCTTTAGAAAACTAGAGAGAAGTCAGTGAGAGAGAGACTCTGTAACTTGAGAGTGATTATTCTCCTTCTAACTCTATAACACCCTTCTAAATCCTTCCTTGAGTTGGATATCTAAGGTAGATTGGAGATTTAAGCTTCAAAAGCTAAGAATCTCAAGTTGAGAGAGTTGTACAATGACTTCGAGAGCTCTTAATTTTCTTCCTCATTTTTTTTGATTTTTGAGCGATTCAATGTAAGGGAAGTTTGGTGATTGATATTGTAGAAACATATTGTTAAATTCCTACTTGAATTATGTAATTGGTGGATTTTGTTGTTTGAAACTAAGATTTGAGAGGACTTGCTTCAAAATGTTGTTTTAGAAAGTGCTTTAGAGAGAAATAGTGATTTTAAGTTTGAATGGTCGTATGTGGTTTCTTTGGCTGGAAATGAGTTATCTATGTAGATTGTATGTCGAAATACGCGTTGCATGTTGTATTGGTGTAAATTTATTATAGGTTTGAGCCAAAAGAAGATTCTACCAAGTACGAAAATCTTTATCACATTGGGTGTGCATTCATGGAACTTGGCATGGCTCAAGATAGGGGTTTTCTACCCTCACAACATTAGAGACTTGTAGTGTTAGGCATGGGTTAGTGTGGAGCTTTTTGACTTAGTCACGCTGGGTGTGGAATGAGAGGTGTCAGGCATGATTGCTCAAAGGGCTCTCTAACTTGGTGATGTCGAGCATGATTAAGTTAGTGATTCCCAGCCTGGACATCGTCGAGCGCATGTTTAATAGCATCGGGTGTGAGTCAAGTAGATTTTCTCTACCTAAATGAGGTCGGACATAGGTTTGGTTATGCTAGGCATGATTAACACAAAGGCTCTCTGCCTCATCCATACTAGGCATAGGGGATTTGGCATCGGGTGTGGACGAGCTAAAGGTTCTTTGCCTCAATTGTGTTTAGCACTAGGAGAATGGCGTTGTATGTGAGTTGCTAAATGAAAAACTTGTTATTTGACAAAGTGTTGAGAATGAGTGTAGTATATTTATTACTCACATGATATACGATGCTATATTATTATAGTTCATCATGAATTGATCTAGGATGATGTATAGTGATGTTTTAAGTTTCTAAGTTATAAGTTGATAGTTGATTGGAGTTGATTAAGTTGCAAGGTATATGTTGTTTATCGTTGATTAAGTTGTTAAATTGTTTAGATGTGTAGTGATGTGATATATCTCTCAATTGAGATACATAAGAACTAAAGGAGAGTAAAGTTGTTTTAGAAATAAAAATATCTCTTTGATTGGATATAAGTAGTGGTGTTCAAAGATGCCAAAGAGTTAAAAACCTTTTAGTGAGTAAGTTGAATCTTGAATAGGAAGTTATTTTTAAGTTGTCTCCTATAGGATTTATATGGATTGTATTAGGGTTAGGTCAAGTCATACGTGTATGAAGTGTCCAATTGAATAAGGTATGAAGTTGAAGGTTAAAATCCTTAACTAATTATTAGAAAGATGTGTAATATTTGAAGGGTAGTCAACGAGCTAATCTCATATGAGACTTAGTTATTCATGTTAAGGTCATGGTAGGTTCACACTCAGGTTATTCTACCATGATAGTAGTATTAGACTTTTATAGTTTAAGTGGGAATACCTAAGAAATCAATTTTGGTACCATGTCATTCGTTGTTTCTAGTTTGATAAACTAACTATTATTTCTGGTTTTGCACCAATTGTTGTGGTTCGATAAGGTTAAGTCACTTAGATTGCTCACCTTTGTTGTAGAGATCTCCATCAGTTGATATGTGTGACGATACATCAATTATCTATGTTGTTCAACTATGTTTAGAGTTGATTAGTTGTTTATCAGTTGTTTTCCATGCATTATGAGTTGCTTATATATTGGTCAATTTTTAGTTGATTATTACTAGTTGTTTCTATGAAGCATTGGTTGATATTTAAAGTTGATGTTATGCTATGAGTTAATTATTGAAGTTGCTTAAGTTGTGAATTTCATACTTGTTATGATGATTGATTCTTTCACAAGCTTACCCTTTCTTTTCCTTGTAGTTGGACTGTAATGATTATATTTAGTATGAGAGCACAACAAAATTAACTTGGATGGCTGGCTCATGGGTGGAGGGTCATGTTGGAGATAACCTATTTTGTTTATTTGTATACAATACTATTTGTATTCAATATTAGTTGTAATTATCGTACTTGATATGAGTCATATTTCTAATATAGTATTAGTTGTATAAAGATGCTAAATGATGATGAGGGTTATGTTTTTAATACTTGTATATTTTGATGTACAAGGTATATATGTAACCTTATAAGGGATTTTATGTTTTCTAGTCTTATATACAAGAACTGTTTTAAGTTTTTTGCACCCTTTACATATATTTGTTGCATGAATATCCAAGTGACTATTGCACGAGAATCCTAGAGTAGGTGTTTATTTTATATTTTCATTGCATAGTAACTATGCTATATAAAAAATAATTAGTGACTTGCCAGATCGTTACATGTATAGTCCATTCGATTTCTCCTCAAATCATGAATGTAAGGCGGTTGTCTGGTGGTGGTAGCAATGTGATCAAAAGAGAAAATATACCAAAAGGCCACCAGGTTTATCAAAGACTGTCATAAGTAGTAGGCTAAGATGAGTTAACACACCCTTAACACGATAGACCTCACAACATGGCATCAGCCAAGAGTACCCTTGGCATAAATCGTCTTGGTACAACCTCAACTGAAGGTACCCTTAATGCTTAAGACAATATATTGTCATACCATTCAATATCATGCTACCTTGGGTCCGCTCTCAACCAAAGAGTACCCTCTTTATAACAATCAACTCGATATGGCCTTAATTAAAGGTACCCTCACCATTCAAAACAATACATCGTCATATCGCTTAGTATCAAGTTATCCTAAGTTCCCTTTCAACCAAATAGTACCCTCGTCATATCCTTGCATTAGTTTTTTTCTTTTTTTCTTAATTATCTTCTCAATCTCAATAATTTCATAAAATTTATCTTTTAATTTTTATAATTAAAAATATTTCATTTTACTAATTATACCCCACCTTCGTCCTCGAGTATAAGATTGAGTCCTTGCCATGTCTTCACGAAAAACACTATCGTGGTCCAAATCGTTGTTGACACCAAATTCTCCCATCACCTTTGCCATCAAAACCACCATCCTCAATGATGGAAGGGCATGAACCAAGGATCCAACCACTAGTGCCATGGCCAAGAGATTACAGGAAGATTTGATTGCTTCAGAGTTTAGTGGGCTTGGTGGGCCCAGTGTACTCTTCACATGGGCTTTACAATGATCCACCTTTTATGTACTTAACATTGTAGTGTAGGATTTATATGTTTTGGTCTTGTATTTCTGGCCACCTAGATTAGGGTTTTTAGGCCATAGGCTTAGTGGGCCTATTTTTGGACTTTATGAGCCTTAGGTATTTTGGTATCCAATATTGGACTCGTTTTGCTTCTTTTATTTTTTTTCTTCTATTGATTGTATTTCATAGAACATTGTATTTAGGCCATTAGAATAGAAAAATAGAGAGAAAACTTAAATAAACAAAATTGATAAACTCAAAGTTACATTTAAAGGTAATTTGAGTTGCATTTGGTTCACATGTGTTAAGCCAAGGGTGGCTACACATGGGACATCCCAAATCAATTCCAAATTACATATAAATTTAACTTTGATGTACAATTGAACCAAGCACATGGCCTAGCACATGGAGTGACCGAGAAATTTGAATTCAAATTCCATTTGAATTCAAATTCCATTTGAATTCAAATTCCATTTGAATTCAAATTCCATTTGAATTCAAATTCCATTTGAATTCAAATTTCTGACACCAAAGCAAGGCATGGAATTGGTGCCAATTGTGCTAGCTCTTTTGCTTATAAATCAAGTCACTCTCTCATTTCAATCACTTTTGAATATATGAGATTTCTGACCATTTTGCTTCAACAAAACTCTCTCTCAACCTAGAAGACTTTTAGGTTTAGCACCTTTTGAGCAATCATTTGCTCCTTTGGCCTTGGTGCTTCCCTCTCCTTCAATTTCGCGTTTCAACCTCATCTTCTAGATCTTAAGCATCCAAAATTTCCTCAAGAAAAAGATCAAGATGTTGAAGCAAAGCGAAGTAACTCAATCACTTAACCTAGTTTTTCCATCGCCCAACTTCCAAGATACAAAATTGCATTCAACTTCGACCACGAGTATCTCCTCCCCTCCCTCCAACAACCCCCTTCACCTTCAATGTGCAACTACTAAACTGAGCCCCACATCCCAATTCAAATTGACCAAACTCCTCTTAGATGAATCTGGTGCACGGGAGTGAGGAATGAGGAAGAGGAGGGGAGACAAAGAAAGGTGCATTTGAAGAAGGGAGAAAAAAATAGTTGGTGCAAATGGATAACAGTTGAGACATTATAGGGGGGTGAGGAAAAAAAATGAGTACAAAGAATGCCGTGTTATTTTGAGTATGAGACGAATCTAATAATTCATTAAAATGGTACAACATAAACCACCTATAAAAGTGGTCCAGAGTAGCATTAGTCCAAAGCTTAACCGTGATATCACTAACATTACGAATAAAATACTATATCCAAAGCTATTGAATTCCGAAACAATTGTATCTTTTTAAGTACATGGAAATACATGGCATGTAGATGTATTGCAACAACTTCAGTAATGCTACAAACCAAAAAGAATTTAATACAACAGTCCAACTCCTGCATCATTCCTCTTTTGGAATAGACCAGTGCATAAATAAATTAAGGTTACAATAAAAAGGCCTCAATTCTTGTGAATCGGTATATATCAACAGCCAAGCTAAATTTATATCCAAACCAAAGCCAAAAATTCAGATCCTTACGTACAGCTTCTCTAACTAGAGAAGCCTAAGGTGTGCTGTATCATTCAACCTTTTTATCTGCCAACCAGTTCTCAGAGAATGCTGCAACACAGTCACTGAAGAGTCTTCTATGCAAAACTTATGTGACATCATAGGACTACATCCAAGAAGGCCCGTCAGGAGACACTTAATAGGCACAGAATGAGTAAATAGTCCTATACAAGACACAGATGGTGAAAAGCTGCTGAAACCAGAATTATGCAGAGAACTTTGGTGGTTTACGTTGCCAGAAGAAATTTCATCTTCAATTTCAACGCCAGTGGTTGTCACAAATTGCAATCTGCTCTTACCAGACTTTTTCCTTGAGAATGCAGGCCGGTGCTTGTTGAGTAAATCCCATTGATTGGGTGGGAGAGAAGGTCCATCTTGGTCATGAATTGAGTTTGTCAGAAGGGCATGGGAGTTGTGCTGTGCGAATGCCTGGTTTTCATTTTGATGTGATGATAAATCTAATCTCAATTTTTCATGTAATCCCAGGACAGTTCCATTTAAGAAGTGAATCATCCGGAACTCTACTTGTCTAAGTGATTCACCAGAAGGTGCAGTGAAATCCGGCTGAAACCTGTCAATTAGGCCCTGAATTTCAGGGGTATATATTTCTGATCGAAGGCAGCCTTCCCAATTCCCTTGACTAATCTCTGCAAGAGAATCAGAGGATTGAATTTGTTCCTCTGAAAAGTTGATTTCCTGTTCATTGGAACTTTAGAGAGTAAGATTTCAAGCACAAGATTCTGGAATGTATTTTTTTTCTTATTTCCATTGATGCAAACATTAAAACCGAGATTGCTTAAGGCACATGAAGTTTAATGAAAAATAATCATTCTCCTACAATAGATTTAGGTAAAGGTAAACAAATTTCTGATGTTTCTGTTCATGCCTTCCAACCATTGAATATAGCAACCACATTTTTCTGAACAAGATTATTCAGTGTAGCATCAAAATCATAGTTAACATTGGAGAATTAACTTCAACTTTTATTCATACAAATCAGCATGTAATATAAGCCAAAAGCAATAGTCAGATACTCAGATGTGGCATCTTTAGCTCCCCCCCCCCCCCCCCAATTTCATGGTTACGATAATTTGTCTTCAGTCTTCACATTTACCCATGTTGTATCAATCTTTAAAATTAAAACAACAGCATGCATCCATGTGTTTAGCAAATTGCAAGGGAAATATATTCAAGGTGAATTTTATAAACAGTAAAACACATTTTGGTCATTTAAGTTATGCACACCACATTGGTCTACTATTTATCATAAACACCCTCAATTATTCTTGGAGAACCAATTCGATGGCAAGGAAGTGAAATTACAGGAACAATTTAATGTCACAAATCTTTTGAATACTAATCTGATGTATCATGTAAATACGAATAGATGACCAATACGATGCAACATTTGGAGGATCAAAACAGATATTTACTTGTTTAAAAATGAGCTAGCAGGATACAGGATGTGTCCAAGTGTCAATGTAAGCATGCTAATCTTTTAAAGTTTAAATAATCACACAATTTTACATTTATATATAGAAGTTCAATATTAGAAGAAGTTTTGGAGTGTTTCTGAATTAAACTAGGCTCAACCTTGAACTGTGATCTGTTTCATATGGACTTATGCAACTGGTTTTATTTTGTGCATTTTTAAACTAGTTTTAAAAGTTTTGAAACATCCCCCAAGTTTTTTTTAATGATTTAATCACAATTCATAAGGCAATAAATGAATTTCATAAGTATCTAGCATCATTTTCAGCTAATTGTTACTTTAAGCATTCCATGCTCAGTTAACATTACTATTACTCATACAGTCAGCTAACATCTAGAATATAATACATCCCACCCTACTTTCTTCCATGCTTTTCATCTCAGCTTTACCCTAGGACATCATCCACTAATTTTAAATTGAACATAAAATAAGATCAATAGATTTTGTAAACAGAACTAATTGGAAAATAATTGAGTCATAGAGAAATGCCAAACTTCTTTTTATCTTGTATCCAAATTTAGTTTTGTCAACAGTTCTCTGTGCAATTAAATTACAGAGAAAAATGAGAAAATCCATCAGTCATCACCAACAGCAGCTGTGAGTTTTATGCTAAGTTTCATGTTACAAGGGAAATGATTTGAAGCCAATATCAATTTCATAAATATTAGAGGTGAAAATCAACAAATCAGTGCTCAGAGGATACAACCACTTCTCCCATAATCTTAAAAGTAGCAGAATTACACAAATATTAGCTTAACAACAATCCCAGACACACATGTAACCCATTTATCAGAGACACCAATTCAGCATAATAAAGATGTCCCAAGAAAGTAAAACATGTAATCATATTAAAACAAAATAAGGAACACTCTATGTTACTATCCACATTTATGATCAGTCAAGGAAACAAATCAACCATTTTCAATTTCAACTACACTCATATTTATAAATCCAACACCGTGTCCTCATTTCAACCTCCACCATTTAAACTCAACCATTCAGAGCTCATGATCAGGCACAACCCAACTAAACTTTCAGAACCAAAGCATAAACTTCATTCACTTTCAATTCAAAACATCTACCATACAAAGAATCAAGAAAACAGACATACCATGACACACAATTATAGAACACAACACAGCCACAATACAGTGTACGTACAAACAAGAAGAAGTCAACAACAAAGTCTTATCTCACTAAGTGAGCTCGGTTAAATGGACCGCACAATATCACCAGGCTCAGTTATGATAAAATGCACATACTTAGTACAATAGAAACAACAAGCACAAATCTCACATCATAAGAAACAATCAATGCTTTCAAACCTGAGCACAAGTCATTAGTGTAGACCTAAAAAAATGTCATAGTTTCTCTAATAATTGAGATTTTATCATCTCATTAATCTTTCTAAAATAGCTTAAAAAACATAAAATCTCAATAAAGTGGATCATGATCTAATTACAAAATTGGTTTCTAAAGTGAATATTGTTCTCCGCCTATATATACTCTAATTAGGACTACTAATTTGGCGATTTTACTAGTCAATGTGGAATCTCCAACATAAAATGAAGCTAGAAGCATTAAAAATACATGACAAAACACATGTAGAATAAACGTACATAAACATCACAACTTCGAAATGTAAGTGATGCTTGCTCTTGCACTTGCACACAATTGAGCACATTCAAACTGAGAAAAAGTACCTTACACACGGACACCGCCGTGGACCGCGCCCGATCTAACGGCGACGAGTACACGGCGCTGAACCGAACTCCCTGCGACTTGAGAAAGACGGCGAGTGCCCTAGCCTGGCGCATCCCGTTCGGCGTGAGCGCCGCGGCGGGGCACCGGCCGCCGACCAAATCCGGCGCCAAATTGAGCTCACACTCGCCGTGACTGATCAGGAAAACCTCCGTGACCTCGTCGTCGGCGGCCATCCCGTTCGCGGAGAAGCTCCGCGAGAGCGCGGGCGGCGACGGCAGCGGCGGCGGCGGGCCGAGGACGTTGTAAGGGTCCCAGACTTTGATCGAGGGGCCGAGGCGCGGCGTGCCGAGCGACGAGAGCTGCGGCGAGAGCGGCGACGCGGAGGCGTGGCACGGCAGCATCTCCGGCTCCTGTTCCAGAACCTTCTTCACCATGTGGTTCCCCAATTGGGCCCGGCCCATGGGCCCGTTGAGGTTCCTGTCGTCGTCGTCTTCGTCTTCTTCTTCCTCTTGTTCCTCTTCCTCTTCGCTGTCTTCCACCACTTGCACTGACTGGGTCGCACCCATTATGGGTGGGTTCGCGAAACGACGCCGGATCGGGGGTTTAGAGTTGGGATTTGAAACGCATCGCGTGGCGGGGTTTGGGTTTGGGTTTCTATAAGGATGGATCTGCGTGCGAAGAGAAGTAGATCTCACAGTGGCTTCCTTCTTCTCAGCTAAAATCTACCGTATCAAATGAATCTCTGTTTGTATTTACGGTGTCATCATCTTGAGAGTTGAGATGAACCCCAAGGAAGCCACCCGCACTAAATTTTTAATTTTGTCTTACTATCTTAATTCTTTTTAACTTTTTTAAAAAAATTAGTAAATAATTTACACGTATGTAAATGGGTCGTTATTGATTTTTATATCATTTTTTAATATAATTTATAAAATAAATATTTTTTAAACATTTATGTTTAATAAGTATTATAATTTTTATTGTTAAATTTATAATATTTGTTATACTATATAAAAAAATAAACAAATTTAAATACATTATCATAATATTTTATACTATATAAAAATATTATATATTTTTTATTTTTTATTTTTTATTTTTTAAATATATTTATCTTTTAACTAATTTATTTATATTTATTTAAAGTATTTTTATTTTTATTTTTATTTCTCATTATAATCAAAAGCTTTTTTTAACTACTACACATTATCTTTTATAATAACGATCATTATTAAATAATTATTTTTTATTATTAAATAAAATCATCATTATCTTGGTAATGATTTTTGTTTTTTATTTTTTTTATTTTTTTGAACAAATATATAGAGACAATATACATTTTTTCCTCTTATATACTCTACTATATATAAAAGGTATATTGATTGTATAATTTATTTTTGGTCTCCATTTATTTTGATATTATTATACTTATTTCATCTCTAATTTATACTTTTGATAGACATAATACCGTAGATTTCAATCATAGTGTCAAATGAACTTTTAACATCTAAGCAACACATATGAATTAAAGTTTATGTACTAAAATAAAAAATATATTAAAATAACAAAAGAAAACTAATTGACTTTTTCTTTCTTAAGGTAGTTATTTTATACCAATGTGAAAAAGAAACTCTCATAATATGTTTTTGAAAATATGACGTTGACAATTTTTTTTCCTATTATCCAAAGCTTTTCTTTCTCATAAGTGATTTTTTTTTTCTCATGTGTGTATATTTTATAGTTAAATTCAAGGTACTTTCACTAAGCATTATCTCTAAGTTTTGTGACTACCAACTTTGTATTATTCTCATAACCCTTCAAATTGATCTAGATTTTTTAACAATATTATTGAGCCACATGTTTAATTTTATTTTATAATTAAGAAGATAAGATGTTCTCAAAGTGTTAAGAATTTACTTGGAAGGGCTTTAAATATTAATTTGTTTGTCTATGTTTTTGACTTGTTAATTGAATATGAACTTTGACATTCCCTTTCATCACCTAAAATAATCTAAATCAATATAAATGATCCATGGAATAATTCCTTTCTTTGGGTTATGCCTTTTCTTGATTTTTTAAATTTGTTCCTTATTTTTGTGCTAACTTTTTAAATGCAAAGTTGATATCGTACCTTTTTTGCATGGTTGTTCACATTTGTAACTGGTTCTTTGCTTTCCTTCTCAATTTTTTGTTTTTCACTCTAGATTGTTTCCAATCCTTATCTTTGTGATGTGTATTATATGATGTTCACTTTGGAGGTGTTGATCGAAGCTTTTACATGGTGGTTTAAGGTTTGCGTCGCTGGGTAGTGAGATGCTTCGTTCGGTGGGTAGTACGCCGTTCAGTGGGACTAATGGAGTATGCACTCTACCGACCTCATCGCTAACCCTCGCTTTGCTAGAGCCACTCAAGAGATTTTGTCAGCTACATAAGTTGTAGTGGAATACCATGGTTGAGGAGTTGGAAGCATTTGATTCCAAGTAACGAGTCAAAAATCACATCATGAAGTAGAACGTAACTCTGCATGCATAGGAAGCGTTCTTTGTCATGAGAATGAGTTTTATCTTCCGTAATGGATCCTTCACTTCGCTATAAATGTGTTAGCTTTGTTATAATTACTTTTTATTTATTCATAGACTTCACTTTCATTTTTTTTATCTATTTGATTTTTAGGTTAATTCATTATGTAATTTGTACATTGGATTTGGGGTTATCTTTCACATTGTTGGATCTACAATTTTGTGTGTTCATCGCAACTTGGAAATGGGTTGTGTATTTCCTCATCGATTTGGGATTTGGCCTAAAGTTAGTGGTGACATGATGTGTATTTTGGTTCAACTTTATATGCAATTAGAGTTATTGGGTCAAAAATTTTGTTCTATGTTTATGTGTTTTTTAGATTGCATTTGTGCTTTCAAGTCTGGACTTTAGTTGTGAATAATTTGGTGCTAACAGATGGCCTTGATCAACATGTGATTTTTCTATAAATCCATGGACCTCCTTTCATTTTAGTATATTTGTTAGTTATGTTCATGAGGAGATTTCAAATCAAATACATTATACAATTGAGGGTTTGAATCAAATACATTATACAATTGAGAGTTTGAATTATTACTATAGTTTACTGTTTCGGGGATTTCATTAGGTTTTTTCATTTTCTCGAGGATATTTTTGGTCATGAAATTTTATCAATGGTCAAGTTGGTGAAAATGGAACCCACAAAGAGCATTTGAATGTCACACTGGACAAGGGTAAATATTATCACCAACTAACGAATAATTTATTTGTTCAAATTTTGCTTTTATAAATAATGATATCAACTATCCTAATTGCATAAATGAATTTAAGTGTGATGGTGTTGGACATGGGAACTAGGGTACACAGTTTGATGAAATTGTTGAGTAAGCAATTCTTTGTATTCATAACTTTAATATGAATGAAAATTCATATCACAATTCCCATAAAGAAAAAAGTCAGGTGTTTATGTTGGTGGTTATTGATTATATGTTCCTTTTGATGTTAAATGTGCTTAGGGTGATTGAGGAAGTGGTTAATGAATCTGAAAAGAATTTGGGTGAAGAAAAGTGATGGAGGAGCATGGACCAAGGGTCCAACCACTAGAGCCATGACAATGAGGATACATGAGGATTTGGCTAATTCAGAGCCTAGTGGGCTTGGTGGGCCCAAGCTACTCTTCACATGGGCCATTTGTTGATATCTCATTTTTCATGTTAGAGTAAAGGATATATTAGTTTAGATAGTATATTTCTTAGCCTTGTATTTTGGGCTTTAGGATTAGTGATTTTGGGCCTTAGGTTTATTAGGTCCATTTTTGGGTTTAATGAGTCTTAGGTATTTTGGTACCCAATATTGGGTTCATTTTGCTTCTTTTATCATTTCTTAATGTTTAGGATAGTTTGACCATTGTATTTAGGCCATTAGAGTAGGTTTTGAGAGGAAAAACTTAATTAGACAAAGTTAGCTAAATTAGGTCACATTTAGGTTTAATTTAAGATGCATTTGGTGCATATATGCTAGCCTAAGGTGGGCTGCACTTGATCCACCCCAAATAATCTCAAAATTAACCCTAAATGCAACCTAAATTAAATTAGATCTACACATGGAGCTAGCATATGGTCATCAAAGAATTTGAATTTCAAATTCCATTTAAAATTCAAATTTTTGACGCCAACTTGATGGCTTGGTGGGTGGCGCCAATTTCTAACTTCCCTTAGCCTATACATTTTGCTTTCCTCCCTTCATTGTATTCACTTTGAGTATATGATCGAGAGCATTTAGCTTTTTAGCCAAATTCTCTTTACTTGAAGAATCCTTGACGCATAAAATTCTAGGGTTCCTAGAAGCTTTCTAGGTTTAACACCTTGTTAGCAATCATTTGCTCCTTTAGCAAAGGTGTTTCCAAACTCCAAAGATCCCTACATGTAATCCTTTGTTTCTTACCTTCTAAAGTGAAGAAATCATCTCAAGGAAGGTTCATGAAGCTTGGAGCAATTCCTTGAAGAATTCATCCATCAATTCTTCAAGAATTGCCATTAAGAAGCCTGCAGGTGAAGAAGATCCAGTAAAGGGAAATAAGAATAGTCCTACTAATGGAAATGAAAAAAAGAAAAAAAAAACACGAGGATAAGGTGGATGATTGGTTCATTTAAGGCTTTCTGCATTTAGTTTGAATCTCTTACTACATCTTTGAAATTTTCTACATTTCATGATCAAGATACAAACAAAAGATATGCATTTTATTTATTAATGTCAAATCATTCAAATTAAGCTTTGGTTATATCTTAGTGATCTAATTGAATTTTGTTGGTTGCTTTATTTACATTGTAGAAGCTCTCACTGTCTTTTTCTTAATAATGAATTTTTTCCTTAGTCTAACTTTGCTTTTCATTTTGAAAATGTTGGGATTTCAATTGCATTTATTATTCTTCCTCATGCATTTTGTTTTTTATTATATTTGAAATTTATATTCTCTAGACTATTCATCAATTGCTAAATTGAATCTAAATTTTGTGGTAGGATATACACTAAAAGAGTGTGAGAGAGTGCTGAAAGATAGAAGGAAGGCTCTATAGGCGCTCAATACTGAAGCCACGAGAAAGGTGGATATCAAGAAGTTTGCTTCCATGCAACCATTGTCAAACAAGAAAGACAATGAAGAGATATTCATTAAATTGGTGAGATTTTTTTGCCCCATTTTTTTCCTTCATTTCTAATTATTTTTATAATTTTATATTAGTGATTCCTAATAATATTGCTTGACACTTTGATTTTCTTTCCAGGGGTTTGATAAGGATAAGTGCAAAGATGTTTTTGATAAGGAGGAGAAATCTAAAAAGGTGTGAGATTGTGTGCTAACCAAGGTTAGTGCCATGATACCCAATTGTACTAGTTGTTTTTTGAGGAGAGTCATCTAACTTTAATTTTTGTGCAATTTCTTCATTAATAATGCATACAAGAACGTAAATATTAACTCAAGAACCACCTTCTATCAAATCCTCGTACCTATGTGAATCCAAAAGGCTTTATTTTCCCCAAAAAAATAAGTTAATTTTGCTAATTTAATATACTCAAGACTACATTAAAATCATATTATTTTGCTTAGTATTATGTGTCAGCTTTCTAGCATGACATAGTATCTCACCTTGTGAAAAATATGAGGATTTTGGGAATTTGGTGTTGGGAAACATCAAATTTAGATAATAGCTCAAGTTATACAAGTCTTTTTCAACTTGTAATAATATACATTTTGGCTTCATTGCAATTCTAATTTA